CCACAACCCACAATAGCTTGGTGACATCGCTAACAACAACTGCCCATTCTAAAGAAAATGGAGGATCAACATTCAATCCTGGCAGTTTGGTTGGTGGCACTGTATTGATGCTGGAAGTTTTACTGATTCTTTATATTGGATACAAAATATATTATTCAAGAAGGGCATTCAGTGTAGAGCCACTGATGGCATCATTTCAGGAAATCCAAGAACTGGGGAAAGAGGAAAGCTTAATGCAGCACTATAACTTTGGTTTATTGGTTTAAAACAATATTCTCTTCTGAAATAGCACACATGGGCCAGGTGCATGCTGTGTGATGCGTCACAGAAATATGTGAAGGTTCCTGGTCATTACTAAAGACAGAAATGCCTTAGTTTAAACATGGAGCTTACAAACAATTCATACAATGATTGTATTCCCTCTCTCAAACACATCCAAGTAAGACAAGTCCCATCTTGTGTTTTTGGTGGCACCGCCACGCAGGACCCGACTGGCAGCCGAAGCCTTGCTGGAGGTAGGAGCTGCCCGGGCTCACAGTTAAGGCGCTCACTGGGGCACAAAGGAATTTCTGTGTTGCTCGCAAAAAGAGCTTCCGAGCTGGAAGCGATCTCATTGCTATGCCAGAGGTGGAAACTGCACGAGTGAGTAAGCCAGGTCTGAAGCGTAATTGGTCAAAGCATCAACATTTTATATTTTGAAGTATGACATTTATTCTAGAAACAGAATCTTGAAAATAAAACCCCCAAGCAATACCTGTGCTTTGCTGTAGTAGGAGACCTAATGGAGCTTTTGAAAAGCTTGTATTTTTATTAATAACTTTTAAAATTTCAATGTTAATTGGTATAATTTTCCTTTCTATAGGCAAAGTGCAATGTTAAAATTGATGTTCTAAGGGTTCAAACACAAGACTGGCATTATAGAAAAAACTAGACATTAGATTATTTGCTAGTCTGAGAGTGTTTTTTGCTAGAAATTGCTTCTATTTCCTCTTCACTTGTTTATTTTGTATTTAGTGACTATTTTAAAGAAATGCAAAGCTGCTTTTAATATCTAGAAATTTTAATGGAATATAAAATCACCTAACTTTAGAAAGAGATTTCCAAAACAAAGTAGAACTCTGTATTGTCAGACTTATAGATTTTGCTGCTTATTCAACCAGGGATTATGGGAGTTTCCCCCAAGCTGCTGTACTGCAGGGCAAAGTACTGCATTTCACACACTCTCAATTTAGGAGAACTGGGGAAGTGGTATCTGTATAGTTTAAATAAGTGTATTGGACCTAACGCCTACTTTGGAGAGGACATTCCTCTTCCTTACGTGGGCATCTTGTTCCTTGGCTGAACGGGAGCTGCTTGCAGGCGCGGTATCACATGAGCACCAATAGTAGGGAGTATATTTTGGAGAGGTTCTAGTTCTACAGTTCATAGTCTAGAATTTAAACTCAGGGCCAAGTTTTAACAAAAGAGGCATTCAGTCATTTAACACCATGATACTTCCATCTTAACAGGCTGAAGTAAATTACACCAGTTTCTTCAAATCTAAAATGAGCTAAGGCCTCCTCAGGGTCGTGTACCCACACTCGACAAGAATAAAATAGGAGTTGGTGACCGGCTTTTGGTTTGCAGGGAATGTGAGATAACAAGCATTGTGATAGGAAAGGATCATCTCTGTTTGCTGTGTGTTATGGAAGACGGATAAGTGTGGGTGGCGTCTTCTTCTAAAACACGGATGTGATGGAGTTTGCACAGCGCATGCAGTGTGGAGGAAATCGTCCAAAGCGTGTGTGGTCAGCTTCGCTGAGAAGTGTGGGCTGGTGGGTAAGTCGTGTGGCTCCTGCTGGGCCTTGGCTGGTCTCGCAAGCACTGTTCCAGTTCTTCGTGAAATGCAGACTGGACAGCGGTGAGAACCTTTCCGGCTTCGCCTCGTGCATCCCTGACCCTCCAGCACCAAGCTGGAGTCCTCTCGAATGCCGGCTTCTTTCACACTTGGCAGCTAGAAAATGACTTTTAGGTTACCGTTGTCACTGCCTTGAAAGGGTCCTCCTTGGGGGTGGAAAGAGTGTAGCTGTCTTTTCTCTGTACAGAAGTAGTACGACTTGCTGGTTTCCAATATTGATCCTTTGATCACGGAGATTTTTTAATCTACAGAAACAATGCAAAAAAACTGTATTACTTTGGACTATTTCCTGAGCATAGCTTTTCTTCCTAATTATGTTTATTTAAGCAAGTGGCCAATTTTCTTTGTGTTCTTTGAGAATATACTTACTTGAAGGGAAAAGCAATCCAGGTGTATGTCTAAATATCATGCAGAAGTCGCTCCGATTTTTAAACACCCTTGGATAATCCGTAAAAGGAATAATCCAAGTAAAACAGGTGAGAGTCGGCAGTATATTACAGTGGCAATTCTGTTTTATTTTTAGAAAACAAGTAAAGAAAATCTCTCTTACCTTTTGTTTTTCTATTACAATGACCAGCTTTTGATATGTCCTTGTTACTAAGATCAATTTTTGAAATAAAATTTGTTCTTTGTGCAAAGAAAAATGCTGCGAAGCGCGCCACGCGTCGCATCTGGCTTCCTGGAGGGGCCCCCCGCCGTCGGCCACTTTCTCCGGCTGGCCCGATTCCCTGGCACACTCCTGCCCTGTCAGAGCCTCCCACGCTTTCTTTTAAGTCTCTTTCAACAATAATTTAGTGACAAAATAATTTCAGCCACTAGTATTACTAATCATTCTGATTAAGTCCTGCTTTCCCAACATGTTGTAATTTATTAGCAAGTTTATAATTGCTCTATTTTCTCTCAGTAAAGAGTAACCCGCAGGAGTTTCATGCGTGAGTGCAATTATTCCCAGCCTGCCTACTTGCTGGCTCTCACCTCCTCCTGCTCTGGGCTAAGGCCCACTGTCCAGAAGGCTGTGGGCCATACAGCAGACTGTTGGCAGGTCTGTTTTAACTCTAGCAAGCAGACTTGCTAACGTCACACGCGGGATGGTGCCCTCCTCTGGGCACTCTGCTGTGTAAAGGGGGGAAGCGGCTCTGGCTGGTACCGTCGACTATGAGCCAGCAAGTCACTCAGCTTCTACTTTGGCTTCCTGTGACGCAGCATAGAACAGGGTGCCGGAAGCTGCGCCCCAGTAGCCCCTGGCTCTGGAGTAGGACAGAGAAGGAGCACAGCACAGCAGGCAGCGACCCCCGAGGGGCCTCGGGCAAAGGCATATTCGGCTGTCTCCTTCCATACGCTTTGAAGACCGACAATAGGTGGCACAATGCTGGACAGACATTTATAGCAATTTGCTTTCCTTTAATCCCACCACTGAAAATAGGCAAGACCTGTCATGTGACTGCGGCCCACCATGGCAGTGAACGAGGGGGACCAACAGGACTAATTTTACTTGCAGCCTTCACATCCCGCCAGGGTTGATCGCTAAGTACTTCACACAGACAGCGCTATTGGATTTATCATAATGAGTGCATTTCAGATGAGCCTCCAACCCAGAAGCTGGCCAGCCTGGGCGTTTGTGAGCCTGCTTTGCCTTCCATGAGGCAGCCCGAGAACCGCATGAGGAGGCCGGCAAGGGCTGCAGTACCCGTGCTCGGGCACCCGTGTGGCTGGCCGAGTTCATTCTGTGGGAGTAGTTCGTGAGAACCACTGGCCAGACCTTTAGCACTGCAAGGCTTAATGTCTATTGCATTGTAAAGATAAAAATCCATCAGTAACTCCTGGGAGCCTCCCAGTGAAATATCCCTCCCAGAAGGTCCAGTACAGTCTGTGTGTGCAGGTCCCTTTAGCGAGCGGTGTGTGATGGGCGTCCTTTAACTCCAGTGAGAACAGCATGAGGGCCTGTTGAGCACCGGGCAGGTCTTGATCGATTTTGAAGACTGGCATAGCCAGCCGTGTAGTTGGTGCCCCGGTCACAGCAGAAGACATGGCAGTGAGACATAGCAGCCACGGCGTCACCAGATCTCACACATTTCACAGCACTCTCTGCCGCCTGCACCGTCTTCAGGTATCTCTTGGACTACAGGCTTATAAATGGGTTAGCAAAAATAGTCATAGAAGCCGCATGCTTCCCACTTACTTGTGTAGTTGAAATGTAAGTTGTTGGTCCGTATCTTTTTGCCTAATTTTGAAAAATAAATGTGAGAAAAGTGTTTTAGGAAGACCCATCAGAATGAATGGGTCTCCTCTGCGCTTTGGAAAGACACATGTCGGGTAGGAAGTTTGTGCTGTGAAATAGTTTATGTTGTTATTTTATTCTGTTAATATCAAATAGACTCAGGTTATCCTGGGCCACAATCTTCTTCCTATAAGTGAGAATTGAAGAATTCAAGCAGTGTGGAAAACTCAGAAGGATTCAGAGATGATTAGTATGAGAAGGAAAAGAGGAAAAGGTCCATTTACAAAACTTGTTAATCAGATCAATTTGTAGACAGGATGCGGGTATCATGGGTACCTGCTGTGGTGGGTGTTGCTGGCACCTGCTGTGTCGGGTGTTGCGGGCACCTGCTGTGTCGGGTGCTGCGGGCACCTGCTGTGGCAGCTGGGCAGCATCACAGGCCTTCCAGCAGTGGCTTCTTAACCAGGCATCTCTACCTCTAAGATCTATCGGCTGACTTGGGGAATTAGTTGGGCATGACAGATTGCACACGTGTTCACATTCTTGCATATTCAAACACATAAAATCAACCTCATGTGTGGAAGAGACCACGTTTAGGGGGATATGTCCGTAAGTAATCATTGTAAATTCATGAATTACAGGAGCGAGTGGGAGGGAAAATCTCCATTCCCAAACCCAGTGAGTGGTGGAGGCTGACCCTAGACAATGGCACACTTAGGGGCGAGCTGGCCTCGCCCCACTCCACAGGGGCCAGGCGGGGCGAAAGAACACCTGAGCTTGCTTGCCCGCTCTCCCATCGCCCCCCTCCGATCCTCCTGGAACCCTGGCAGCACACTCAGCTCTGTCATTTGTCCTCTTCTCTTTCCTGTGGCTCTCCTGGAGCAGAGCAGGAAGCAGGATGCACCTCGGGATGACCAGGGCCCGAACACCAAGAGCCTGGACTTCTGGCCGCAGCTGATCACGCTGATGGTGACGATCATCGACGAGGACAAGACGGCCTACACGCCTGTGCTGAACCAGTAAGTACGCCATCTCTGGAGAGAGTACTTATGCCGCTTAAGTGAGAATGTGCACTCCGATGCCTGGGGGAAACACTCCCAAAATTAAGCTGCAGAACACAGAGGACTTCTGTCAGTAAGTGTCAGTTCAGCCATATTATGAATTTCAATTTGAGTCTCATATAGGGTTTGCTTTCTTGGAGACGAAGATTTCCCAAGATTGGATTTTTATGTGATGTAGCCCATTCCCTTTTTTCTCTCATAGCTGTCTTATTGCCTCAAAAGAAAAGTAAGAATGCCCCTTAAAAGCTGAAAAGAATGTTGAAGAGCAAGAACTATGCATATTCCATTGTTTTTTAATAATAAAGATTTACCATAGAAGCCCTGTGTTAAAATAGTTGTGCATATTTGATACAACAAAATTAATGCAATGTTTAGTAGAACAAGTCAGTTTCAGAAAAGAATAATCTCAATTCTGTGCCACAAAGCTCTATAAATAGATTCCACTGTGACTATTCTGGAAGAGTATTTAAAATCATCTTCTCCAAATGCCACTACCTGTGAGACCTCAGCAGATTAACTTCCCTGGATCTCACTTTTCTCCCATATGAAATAAGGAGAAATATAATTACGAAGTGGTTTCCTGGGTCTAAATCCATGGTAAGTTTCAGGTATTGACTGACCCCAACCCGGCCCCTGCAGGCCACATAGGAATGCCTGGCCCTAGCCTCGCTGCCTCTGTCTGCCACGTCCACCCCTTAACCTTTCTGTCTTCTCAGGCTCCCCTCGCCCAGAGCTGTGCCCTGTGCACCTCCTCGGCACTAGGAGGACCCCTTCGCCCTGGTCGAGTCCGGGCACAGGGTCTGGGCATCCCACTCAGGCCTCCAGCAGCTCTGCAGCTTGCATTTGCTCACTCTGGAGATTCTTGGGCCCAGAGGAGGGTGCCAGAGGTCGGAGACCACCAGCTCCTTCTGACAGGACCACCTGTGGGTGGGGACAGGCTGCTGGAGAAGGAAGGGCTGAGTGCAAACAAGCATCTGCAGAGCAGTGCAGAGTAGAGGTTTGGGGAAAGGATTTGTTTGTAATTAAAGAAATGCCTTGTTATTTATAGGTGCCTTAAACCAGGATAGGACCAGTAAATAAATCAGGGCTATGAGAAGCATGATAGAGTCATGGAATAAATTAGAATGCCCAAGTTTACTTTAGTCATATACCACAAAAGATATACAGTGATTTTAGTTGACTTTTGGTAACTGTATTAAAAAGTAAGTGTGTGTGTGTGTGTGTGTGTGTGTGTGTATTCAGTTATGGCAAAATAAATTTGAAATTGTGCACTAAATCCAACCTGCTAAGTACAGAGATGAGCTTTGACACAGTGAGGAAATAGATGTCTTTGTTTTGCCTTTTAGTTTTGTTTCTAATGTCGGAGTTTAGAGCCACCTGTTGGCATGAGCACTTAGTCCTTGGGAGCAGGAGGGCATTCTGATTGCTTGGAAGCTGTTTTGTGACTGCAGTTGCTTTGTTGGCAACAGTGTTAGTGGCGCTCTTCTACCTCATGGCGTTCGTTCAGCTGTCTTGTGCTCACCTGGGGACCGAGGTGTGTTCTGCGCCTGACGTTGGCCTCTGGGGGCGGGAGCGCCGGGTCCACAGCCGCAGCCTGAGCGCACAGCACAGCCACATGCAGCTCTGTGACTGCTCTCCGCATACTTAGGCTGCACAGCACCTTGGGAACAGCGTCGGGGCACAGCGGTCCTGTCCCGAGTCTGGAGTCACAGAGCCTGAAGGGCTCAGAGGTCCGCAGCAGTCTGGCAGAGGACGCTTCCCCTGGCTGACTTGAGGGCACATCAGCTGGAATAAGTGTTGGATAGCAGCAGCAAGTGAATGAATGATTTAAAAGTATAAGACACTTTAAAATATCTTTCAGCATAATTTAGTATTATGGTATAAGTAGTGTGTCGATCGAAGTTTGCTACCATGCCCAAGAAGTCATGGCAAGCTTCGGCTACTCCAAATTTGATGAGAAATTTATGTAGGTTAGAATGTAGACGCAGAGGAAGGGTTCCCGCCGTGTTGCTCACTGGTTCACATGCAGGGAAAGGCATCTGCTGCATGAACGAACAAGTGACCCTTAGTGTAGTGAGTAGCTGTGTCCTCTGTCCCTATACCGTCCACTTAGGAATGGGCCACGGCGTTTCTCTGAGCACTGTCTTCTCAACTTCAGGAAATGTTTTTGATGGAGTAGCTCTCCATGCATATAGGAATTTCACGGACATGGGAATATTTAAGCAGAACATAGATTTAGATGTAGATGCGTAAGTGTATTGTTGTATTATTGAATTCAGTGTAACCACACAGCTCGAGTATGACATTTACTTTCTGAGCAATATGTCATTACATGAATATACAAAATATTTTGGTCCATTGATCTGTTAAACAGAACGTGGAATTGTTTAAGGTCAGATTGCGATGGCTTTGTTTACAAGTCTATTGTGTAGGCCCGGGCTCTCGCCTCTCCTGGCCTGTGGTAGGCATGGGCCTTGTGTTCCTAAGCTGCCCGTGTGCTTTCGGGTGGCTCTCTTGCTGGCCCTCATGTGGTTGGTATTTTGAGGTTGGCCATTCTGAAAGACATAGCTTAAGATAGTCAGATCCCATCGTGACTTTAGCTTCCGCTTTTCTGAATCCCATTGAAGTTGACCACCTTTTCTTATGTTTATTTGCAATTTGTGATGATTTTTTTTTTACTCATATTCTTTCTCATTTTCAGGTTGGCATGTTTATCTTATTGAGTTGTAATAGTTCTTTATATAGTCTGCAGAAAGATCCACTGGCAGGCGCAATATTTCCTTCTCGTTTCTAACATGCTTATTTGTGTCTGTTGAGTGAAGTGCATTGTGTGGGTGTGGGATCGTGTGTGCGTGCGTGCGTGTATTTGATGAGCTGGTAGGTTGGCTTCTTTTATGGCTTGGTATTTATTATGTTATTTCATCTAAATCTTTGCAAGATCCGCAGTCAACTTGCAGCAGCTGCTGAGTCCAGACGTCTTCGACTGAAGTCCATTGCTCATTGCAGGGGATTTTCACATGCGGTCTGACAACAGATTCCGAAGTTCTTTAGATTACTTATATTTGGTTAACTAAATTTCCATCTCTACTCGCTAACAAAAGCATCTTCTGTCTATGAAATTGCTTGGTGCCCTAGGTGAGAGTTCAGGCTGTCCCCGCACTCTGTCCTGCTGCTCTACATGTCCGCTCACGCTTCTTGGCCGAGGTGGCAGCATGCCAATATCCCCTAGTTGTTGGGGCTGACCAGGCCGCGAGCTTCCAAACGAGTGGACAGCGAAGGCCCAAATAAATGTGGCCAATAAATTGATTTCAGGGCTCCAGAGGATCCAAACCCTCTCACAGAATTTGTAGTTCTCTGGGTCCAGACCAAGAGCTTCTCTAGGCAGCCCACATTTATTATGCTATCAAACAAAGCAGGGAGACACTGAAGATGCAGGAATCTGTAGGGACTTGGGGGCCTTCAGCAGGTTCTCCAGGCAATACATTCTGTTCATGTAGAAGAACTGGGCCACCTCCAGGAAGGCCGTCACCCAGGACTGGGAAGCCTGCAGCTGTGGTCTCCTTTTAGCTAACTGGGGTTGGAGCCACACGTCCTCAGCTGTGGC